ATTTTCCTGCGACTATACAACCGGTTTGTTGTATTGAAATATTTAGTGTTTTGTTTTATTTAATAATTGTTACAAATAATTAATGGTAAGTAAAATTCATCTGAATATTAAAAAAAAAACTACGTGTTGTGATATATATTAATATAAACACATGGTTGTACCACGTTGTCTGAATAATATACGGTTAACTTTGAATATAATATTATTTTACTATTATAATGTAATAATATTTATGAAATTATTAATGAAGAAGAAAACGATACAACAGATGAACAAGAGATAATTGATGAAATGTATTTAACTGGGTTTGATGAGAATAGCGACAATGAAAATGAAATGATTTATGAAAGTTATAATACAAGTGAAATTGAAGATGAAAGTGAAGATGAATGTTTACATAGTATTAGCAGTGACGATATAGAAATTAAGCGTAAAAAATTATAGTAAATTAAATTATTTTAAAAAATCACTACACAAAATTTCAACTTCTGTAATAACATAAAATTAATTTATTATTTCATTAATAAATTTTTAGTAAACATTATTCAAAATGTTCATTTACTTATAACATTTATTTAATATAATCATATTTGAAATTAATAAATAGAAAAATAACAATAAAAAGACGACTTAAGAAAAAGTTTGTACATTCCGTAGTCATTAGCTGCTTTGTTTTGAATAATTTTGCAATGAAAGTACGTTAAATGTTATTATTTTGACGTTTTACCCCAGTTTAAAAAAAAAGAACAAATTTGGTCCACTAGAACCCGAGATATGTCATTTTTTTCCAAGCACTCTATTTTGAAACCGTGCGCTCGACTTTTTTGGAGAGCGCGGCTTGTGTGCAATCGGCAATCCCCACTCCTTCCATTCTAGTCGGAACGCAAAGTACTCTTCGTTTACAACACTCCTGTTTAAACAATTTTCAATTATTTTTTTTTGCTAAACATTTTGTAAATAACTTTGACTTTTCTTCTCAAAGATTGGTTAATTTCAGCCCTTAATGTTGTTAATTGACGTAACAGTGATTTTAAAAACATAGCACTAACTCGGCTCCTAATGGTCGCAGGACCTTTTTTTTAAGTTGTGTTTTTTAACCCGCCTTCCGAATATTTTATTGCCATTTAATTTAAACTAAATAGTACGGAGTTATTGTAAATGTTTATAAACTTAAAAAGTGCTATTTAATAATAAATCATTTTGTGTACATAAACGTAATATTTTTTAACTTTTTTTTCAACAGGATATTAATATATGTCTCATTGAAGAAAATAAGCCACGGATTATTAAGATTCATTCAGTCAAATTATCTGGACCGGCCTTAGAAATTTGTGCATTTTTTAAAAAATCTTATAAACAAATTAAATTGTGCAAAAACTATTTAACGGATCTAGCCTATCTTCCGCACACACTTCGAACACGATGAGATCTTTAAGTTCAGATACATTTAAATAAATTTTATTGATCACTAAAAGAGTTATTAACAATAATCAAAAACAGCCGTTTTGCTTGGTTATTATGCAATAACTTTTTTGTTTATTAACCGATTTTAATTTAGTATATCTCATTTTCTGTATTTTTTCTTTCTCAACGTCTGTGGACGTCAAATCTCTAAATAGACAAGTTTATAAGTTATGAGCAAAATAATGATATTGACGTCTTAATTGTTTATTTAAAAATAGTTCCACTAAAAAATTCATGAATCCCTAGATGAGAGCCTTTTTGTAATATCTCATACTATCCATTTCAACTGTCAAACCCGTCTATACACTTGTGACGAAAAAACGCTTATTTTCTACTAACTAACTCGTCTAATAAGCACCCGAAGATTGTATTATTACGGCCGATTATGAAATATAACACACACATATGGCACAATGGAAAAATGTTTTCCAGCTTGTAATCAATTTGAGTGTTAGTGCCTTGCTTCAGCTGGCGTTTCTTCAAAGAGGTGCTGCTTTTTTTGCGGGAGCTTTTGAGGAGGGCGAGTAACCTTATTTGCGACTGAGTGATCTGCACGTTTACTCATGCACTTTCTAAGGATTTTCCTTTCTGTTGCCACAATGGTGTTAGTTTGGCGAGGATTTAGTGACGCGTAGACACACGCCTTGTATTCGATGGTAGGTCTGATTAAAGTCTTTTAATTTTAGAAATCCCTGTATCAACTTTGTTGATGTTGACATAAGATGGATATACGTCCCATACAGCAGCAGTGGAAGTATTAGATAGCGCCGAAAACAACTAAATTATAATTTTGTGCTTACCCAGTCATACCACGCATTTTCTGCAGCCGTTGGACCGAGGTTTTTCAAATTTTTAAAGGCTAATTTTTACTCGAGAGGTCAAAACTATATCAGAAATAACCCAACAAGAAAAATTACACGTTACCAGTTCGGTGAGTCGTTAGGAAATGCGTGAAAAATCTCAGCAACGGTGAAAAATGGAACATCTGGATTTGTTGCCACAGGAATTGTACCGTTTGATCCCGATAAAATTTCAGAGCACGCTTTTTTGCCCACCAATGAGAGCTTCTCAACTATAGTAGAAGAACAAAGTAATACAGAAATAAATCTAAATATTTAAGATCAACCAGGTCCCTCACTTGCAAGCATTACTCTAGTCGTTGATGAAGAAACTGCAGCTGGTACGTCTAATGTTAAAGACTCAAGTGTAATACCTTGAAAAGTATTGGACACGTTATCGCTTGTACCTAAAATTGATGCTGCAAAAAAGAATGTAAGGGGCCGAGCAAGAAAAGTGGCTGAAATTGTTATTCTGCAGATAAAATTCAAGAAAAGAAGATAAAGAAACAAGAATCAAAAATAGACAGTTCCCAAGCAGCAAAACAAAAGGCATCAATGTAAAAAGTATGAGTTAGATTCGTCTAAAGATGATATGAATGCAGATGTGCCAGTTTTAGATGACAGCGAAGACGAAGACGAATTTAATGAAAATGAGTGCATTGGTTGTGGTGAAGATTACAGCAAAACATTCAGAAAAGATGACTGGGTTCAATGTTTGATTTGCAAACAATGGTACAATAACAACTGTACAAAATTTGAAAATGGTTGTGATTCTTGTGAAAAAATTGCTAGTCAAAAGAAATATGTTAACATCATTATTTTATGTGTTTCAAATTAGCCCAACTCTACCAATAGCCATGGCACATCTGTACCTACGTATTGGTATAGATGTGCCAATAAGAAGTATTTTTAATAATTTCTATAACTTTTATATTCCTCAAGTTACATGTTTTTTATTTTGCACAATAAATATATAAACTATAATAAGTATTCTTTTTCAAGTAATCTCTGTGAGAAAAAAAAGTCGCCCGTCTCTCCCGGACTTACCCTAATATAGGTGTATTGTGTAAATTACTTAAAAAACAACAAATTTATTTTCTATAATAATAATAATTTGCATTTACTTGTTTCGAAATCTAGTATCAATTTGAACAAAATCTTAAGGTTGAGGATGCAGCAACACTACGATACACTACAAGTTGTAATAAAATAAAAATGTACTGATATAATGTGACTGTTTACCCTATTGAGTTTTTCTTATTATAAGGTTTTTAATAAAATAGATAGTAGACTGTATACTAACTATAACTTTATTTAATGATAATTATATCTCTTAAACCAATATTCTAATAGAAAATTTATTATGTGGATACACCACCTAATGAGTAGCATATTTACGAATTCGAAAGTATTACATGACATCCAAAATATTGACATGCAAATCCAACACTGCACATTATCCGATTGTCTCATTTAAAATTTGATAAGGCCAGGCAATAATGACAAAGCACCATCCAACAGCCTTGAAAAAAACAGCTGCATAACATACTAGTCTCGATGGTTGAGTGATTGACATATGATATTTCCTCCTTTTCTTTTTCTTTATATTGAAGACTGGTCTAACTAGGGGTCGTAACATATTCTCTGCAATGTGTTAAAGATACGATATGTAAACCTCTAATAGCGAAATATTACAAATTATATTTCACTTTATTATTCCTTGTTAAGCTTTTCTAAATTCTATATTTTTTCTAACATATACAAATCGGGAACATTGCCTTTTTACCCCTATATTGCCAGTCATACTTTTTCTCAGTCCTCTATCAACACTAATTCTGCGAGGAATACTCTAGTAATTTGTTCAGCCGTATTTCATCACTGTACCTTCTAAACCACACACATATATTGCAGATAAGTTAGTTCGTTTATACATTTGATTACGTTTTAGAAAACCGCTCTACTTCTCGCAGTTCGAATTTAATTTTTTTTTGTTAATTAGACTTTAGAGTAATCCATTACTTACTCTTAAGATATCGTTTCTTACTCTTAAACTTTCGTTGACAATATTTATTGATAACCTTTGTACCTTCACATAATTATATTTGATAATTTCGGCTATTATCACGCTCGTTTTTGTTGTTGCAGGTTTGCTCGTGCAGTTTTTACGTTTATAGTTTCTTTCATTTTATCTATGGAATTTTGGGATAATGCTGGTTTTGGTCAAACTTTAGGCAACTGATTTTTTTAGAGTTTAATTATATCAGTTACAAGCGACTAAAATATCCCATTATCTATTGGTAGTGGTACGGTAGCAAGTGTTGTTCAATACTTTTATACTCCTGTGTACCGATATCTCTGTTTGTAACACCATTCTTTATATGTTTAATCGTGTGCAAAATCGTTGTGCCACTTATTTAAGCCTTATGCTACTCTACACATTTCGGATGTAAATATCATATAAAAAAAAATAGACTTTGGACTATTTACAAACAATGAAAATTATATTCAGTAAGGTTACACGTGCCATTTTTAATGCTTTTAGCTGTCGTTGCTAACTACGACAATGTAACGCATGGAGAATGGTCAACGCAACATTTTTGAAACAAACCGAAAATAATTTTTGAATAGTCAATTAACCGAAAATATACGAAAATGTCTAAAATTGATTACATGTTTTTTTAAATTTGGAAAACTTACTTTGGAGCAATATCGGAGCCTTGCTGCATCAGAGTACCTACGGTGAACCAGAGGGAGTTCAACAAAGTGAATTGATTCTCGAGTACTACCGGTACACTGTCGCATGGATGCGGGTTGTCCCACTCGTAGGGGCTGAACCTGCAACCATAGAACAGTTTCTTAAGTAAGTAATAAAATGTAGGCTTACTTGGGTAAAAAGTCGCATCCTTGCTGCATCAGGGAACCGATGGCGAACCACATGCAGTTGAACAACGTAAATTGGTTCTCCAAATGGTCGGGGTTCGGGTTGCATGGATGAGGGTTCTGCCACTCGTACGGGGTGAATCTATTAACATTTATTTACAATATAAAGTAATTGAAAAATTGACCTGTCAAGAATGAAAACAAAAAAATATATATACATTATATTAGTTAAAACTTTACTAAACCAGTGCATAAAAGATACCCCAAGGTATGAGCGGGAACACAAGGTGCATAAATACTCATACGCTTATGGGATGCACCTGGCGCATCATAGGGCCTTCACAAATTACTCTTTTTCAACTTGTCTAGAGTGATATGAGGAATTCTACAAAAATTAGCACCTTAACTGGAGCCAAATAGGGTGATATTGCAATTATAAATGTTCTTGAGAAAAACACTTTTTAAAAACTAAACTTCACAAATAAAACTTTTGTTTTCGACTTACAAAGATTTTAGTAGCAACAACAATAAATTAAATCAGACTAAACTACAAATCAGACTAAACTACAAATCAGACTGAAAATATTGATTTTTACATGGTGTTTTTATAATTTTGTAATTGCTGATCTTGCAGTCCAATACGTCGCAATTCAGTCCAGAATGATCGAGCGGTAGTCCCGTGTGGAATCCACGTGGTAGAATTTACTGGATGTTAGCGGTCATTGTACTGTAACTCCCGCAGTAACAATTTTTTTCTGTAGGTTGATACCAAAAAACATGTTTTCAGGTGCGAGCCTCAAAAAAGAAGGCAAATTTCAGTTTTTTCCAACAAAAAACTGATTTGATCGCTAAAGCTAATTCATTCTTCTAGCGATTTGCCTCGAAAGACGAGTGAAAGAGACTTCTATACTTGAAGCAAACATACATATTAGGTACCAATCGCTTCGTCTTGGTCCCCAGAAGGAACTCTGACCCTTTGAAGAACCAAAAAAAAAGCTCAAAGCGTGACAAATGGTTATTCAGTCCCTGAAATCGACGTTTTTTTCATTTGTTCGCAATTTTATCCGAAAATAGATTAAAAGATACCTCTCTAGGCTCGCACCTGAAAACATGTTTTTTGGTATCAACCTACAAAAAAAAATTGTTACTGCGGGGTACGGGCAGCAAATTGCAATATCACTATATTTAGCTATAGTTAAGGTGCGAATTTTTGTAGAATTCCTCATATGTCTTTAATCTTTCCTATAAGCCTCTCTTGATTAACTTTTGTTTCTTCCGACTCCAAATGACTATTAGGTTTCCGAGGACAGACGGGTCACGATATTTCCTTCTATCTAATACTCTTCAGTGTGGCGAGTCATTCAGTATGGTAAGTCATTCACCGAGCGATTGCCGGTAGAAGCAATCCCCCATTTACTGAGCAACGGCTTCAGGCGGGTGAGTTGGTAAGTGGTAGAGCACTCTTTTGTCTTGAGGTTGTGAAATCGGCCTCGAAGGTGAATCAACCAAAGCTTTAGTCAACGGCATAATGATGGAGAAGCACAATTAGGGCAAACACTCCATAAAAGATTCACAGCGATACGCTTTAGTCAATCGATCATGGCAATGCTCAATACTAACATAAATTCCGAAGTCAGTCCTCCGATCGGATTTTCGAAGAGGACAGTTTTGAGTTTACCAGAAGATAATAAATTAAAGTGCAGACAGAATATCAAGATCTGCTCACGAATGTCAAAACTTTATACAAAGCAGGAAAAATCCACAATGCAATATAGAATACGAAGAGAATGCATATTAAAATAATGGGAATAGCAAAAATAGGATAGTCAGATTCTGGAGAAATACAAATAGAAGATCCCAAGGTATATTACTTGGGGAAAAATTGATGTATCACATAAATAAATCACACAATAAATATGGAGAATAATCGTATCACCCAAGGTTGACAAATCTGTACTAACTTTACACCAATATCAGAGAGAGTGATGATACTACAAGTAGAAGCTAACCCTATTAATATAAACATCATTCAAATCTATGCTCCCGTCAGAAACGAGAGAAAAAACCTCCTAGAAAAATTCGCAGAAGACTCAGAACTAGTTGTCCAACACTTTCTTCCAATTACTACCTCATAAACTGTACACGTGGAAATCCCCTCAAGACACACCCGGGAGAATTATTAGGAATCAAAATGGACTACATTTTAATAAATAAGAGATTCCGAAACAGCTTAACATCTGTCAAGCCTTATCCTGAAGCAGACTTGGAGAGAGACCACGTTCCACTAATGGAAGTATTTCGAGTCAAACTCAAAACAATACAGAAAATGAAAGCACAAACATACGACCTACGTAATCTGAAAGACCTTGATACGAGAATGAGAGTCCAAGCCACGTGAAACGAGCAAATGACTGCAATTAGAGACATATCGAACAAAGAACAAACGATCAAACATATTACAGAAATAGTGCTAATGTAAAGGATAAACACTTAACACGTTCAACGCCATGGGGGTCACCGGTGACCACCAGCTCTGACGTCCCATTGCGCCGTGGGGGTCACCGGTGCCCTCCGCAACATAGCATTATATAAAGTTGTTTTCTGTGCCGGCGGTCACTCGTTTCGTTAATATTAAATATAGAAATGACCGTCCAGGCGCCGCAGAATAAATTTTTTGAATGGGACAAATCTACCTACATAAGTAAAAAAGATATAGAGTGAGTTTTGAATTTTTATATAATGTTATTGAAAATGTTGTCTGTTATAAACAGTAAGTATAAACAGTAAGGAAAGTAGTGACATAACTAAAACAAACCAACTCTAACTAGAAATTAACAATAAAACATTAAACTTGAAAAAAAAATTGACCGGCATTTACATTTACATACAACGGAAAAGTTAATTTCTAGTCAATGGCGCCACGGAAGGCACCGGTGACCTCCATGTGTTTTTTGTATTTATGACAAAAAAATACGCTCAAATATAAAAATAAATATGATGTCTATTTTTAACACATAATATCAGATATATATACTAAAAATTTTTATATTAACTTTTTTATCGATGTACCCATGGCGTTTAACGTGTTAAAGACAGATAGATTAATGAAGAAAAAATCATGGATAACAGATGAGATCCTGAAATTAACGGACGAGAGAAAGAAAAGCCAAAAATGACCTAAAAAAATATAAAACCATAAATATATTAATAAGAACGAAAATCAGAGAAGCGAATGAAAAGAAGCAAGGGAAAGATGAGAAGAAATTGAGACTCTGCAGTCGAAGTACGATGGTCACAATGTACATAGGAAAGTTAAAGAACTCACAACGGGACTAAGACGTAGGCAGAAAGGAAATATAACTGATTCTGACAGAAACATCATATGGGACAAACAAAGTAAAATAAGAACGTGGAAAGAATATCTAAAAAAAACTATTTGAAGACCAAAGAGATAACACCTTTGAGCTAGAGGAAAATGTAAATGATGGACCAAAAATATTACAGCAGGCAGTTTATTCCGCAATAACAGAGTTAAACGATGGCAAAGTGGCAGGCCCTGATAATATACACAAGCAGAACTACTCAAACTAATGGACAATGAATCAATAGCAATAATCGCAAGATATTAAACAACATATATAACTCTGAAGAAATACCAACAGAATGGCTGAAATCTGAGTTTATTGCAAATCCAAAAAAAAAACAGGAGCAAAAAATACGAAGATTACCGTACTATGAGCCTTATTAGTCATCTCTTAAAATTGTTTCTAAATTCATAAGAGAATCTACAAGCTGTGTAAATGTCAAATTTCTCCCAACCAGAGAGACCAGTACAAGAGAGGCTTTGTTCTCAGTACTAGTCTTACTTCAGAGATGCAGAGACGTCAACTGCGATGTATACGCATGTCTGGTTGATTACGAGAAAGCGTTTGATCGAGTACAGCACGCCAAGATGATGCAAATACTAAAAGAAACAGAAATTAACAACCAAGGTCTGAAAATAATTAAATATCTTTACTGGAATCAGACAGCAAATCTCAGAATTGAAGGTGAACACACACTGACTATGTAAAAATCATGCGTGGCGTGAGGCAAGGCTGTATTTTGTCTCCTATAATTTTCAATCTGTACTCTGAAAGAATATTTATCGAAGCTTTGAACGAAACTGAAAAAGGTATTCTACTAAACAGTTACTGGCTAAACAACATGATATATTCAGATGACACCATAGTATGTGCGGACAACTTAGAAGTCCTACAAGTTCTCATGAACAAAATCACGTATTACATTTAACAATATGAACTCAATATAAACGTTAAAAAGACAAAGCTTATGATAATTGGCAAGAAAGCTACCTCGGTACCATAATAAATAAAGTATAAATCCAATGAACCAATAACCAGGAAATTAGAGCACGTATTGAAAAAGCTAGATCCACCTTCAATCGGATGGGGGCCTTGTTCAAGAGTTATAACCTCTCTTTTGATACAAATAAAAAATGCTGCGATGCTACGTCTTTTCTGTCTTTTTTATGCTGTTGAATCGTAGACCTTAAACAAAAATACGTGCAGAAAACTGGAAGCATTTGAGATGTGGCTATATCGGAGAATGTTTAAGATCCTGTGGACTGACCGAGTCACAAATGAGGAGGTCTTCTGAAGAATGAACAGAGAGGTACTGACCATTATCAAATCTCGAAAGTTACAGTTCTTCTGACATATTATGCGAAATGACTCCATATATGCTATTCTTCAAGCCATTCTGTAAGATAAAATATTTGGAAAACGAGGTGCAGGAAGAAGAAGAACATCATGGTTAAAGAAGCTCAGAATCTGGTTCAATATAACATCTGTGCGGCTTTTCCACGCTGCTGCAGATAAGATAAAGATTGCCATGATAATATGTAATGGATTTTGCAATAAATTTTCTAATCGATCTTGCGATATTAAGGATATTCATCTTCCTTCCATACTCCTACTACCCTTTATTTTGCTTGTTTATAGTTTCTTTACGCTTTGTAATATGTTTTCTTTACATATTACCTATTTTCTTTATGCATTATATGTCTGGTAATTACTTTATTACTGACAGTCGCGACTGGGAGAACCAGAGAACCGAATATGGCTGTTATCTCAAAAACAC